GACGATCAAACCTTAAAGCCTTCATCAGCCAAAACAACACTTACAGTTGCTGTGGTAATGTGTAAGGGGAGTGACAAGTTCAAACCAATAAAGCAATCCACTCTTAGAAAGGTTCAGAATACACTGAATAAGGCCCAATTTCTATGAACGGTAACTGACTTGATCACAGCGCACGTTCACAAATCCTCATAATAGTCTGCCGTGTGACTATCCTGCCATTAAGGTACGGAACATCTTCTTAGAGGCCTGAGGACTGGTAGTCATCTGAATACAAAAACGCTGCAATATAGCAATAGAGGTTTATTGAACAACAGTACACACAACGCAAAAAAACAGCTCTATCAACGTACTGGCCAAGAACCAATAGTGGAGGATCAGGGTTTTGCATCTGCAATGTCGAACTGACCATCGGATAATCTCTTCGGACGGTTGGATCAAACCATGTTCACCAGTAATTACACCGCTATAAACGACCAGATGATTCAGCTAGCAACGATAAGTGACTATTTCTTCGAAGGCATGACTATTTCGCATGTGGCTCTCTCATGACCAACCGATGCCATTCAGAGGGTAGCAATAGCCTGTCGATGTTAAGCATATATCACATTCTTACGTGTAGCTACCCGCAATCACCGAATCAGTCACTTTCGATGACCGCTTATCGTTTTGGGTGGCGGAGGCAGATGCGTCAGACAGTGTCTCCAATATTCGTGACTTTGTGCCAGCATATGAGTTTCGTCAGTAAGATGATCCACGAGTAGAGCCGAGTCTCTCGAGACTGTTGCTTCACGATAATCTTGGCCGTCTTCAGGTCCTCGACCGGTCGGTTGAGATAGTAACATACGTTTCACCTTCCATTCTGAAAGCATTCGCAAGACGTCGCCAAAAATCATAGCTGTGACATCTCAATCCAAGAAAGCAGTTACTGTACACGAATGCACTTTAAATTATGTTGGGATGCGAGAACCTGACGATTCGTCTCATCTTCATCTTCCATCGCCGCTTCTTCCGTCAGACAGAGCTTCCAACGTTCCCGATCCTGTGCCAGAGTCTGAGCTTCGGCAAAAGACAAATGGAGTCTGGAACAGACACTTTGCATATCTTTGCACCAGGTTAATCCTGGCCGTCCTCTGGGCCTTCTGCCGGCCAGATTCGCAAGAAACAGTTGCTTAGCCTTCCTTTCTGGAGACATTCGCAACACATGCCAAAACCTTCGCAGCTGTGACTTCTCACTCTGGAGAAGCAAAGGCTATATTCCAAGGATCTTCCGGATATCAGTATTCCGGACCATGTCGAGACGCGTAAGGCCAGCGACTCGTCTAAGAAAGCCCATTTCAACTGTTCGTACCCGGGTTCGAAGCTTTTAAGTCATGGTCCACGACTGATGACCGAAGGTAAGCATGGGGATAAAGATTGACTTGAACACCGAGAGCTTAGTTTTCCGACGATTCGTCTTAGAAAACCCATTTCAGCCGTTTCAATCACTATAATTTTGCGCATAGCGCTAAACACAAGTTACATGGAATATATTTATCATAAAAATTTCGCAATTTTTAACCTGTCATGCTGAAAGGAAAGGATGACGCTGAAGACTTGCAATGTCAGACTGGGTAACGGTAGCGAATAATCACAATATTCGAGGGAAGGTGAACTATGTATCCACATATGTAGGAATCTCGATGCGTTTTCGGCGGTGAACAACCAGGAAGGTGCATGCGACGCCGTTAGAATGATCAGAATAAAAACGAGCAGGAAATGAATCCGCTGATTCGGTGCAAAGCCGCCCAAAAGCGTAGAACGTCGTCTAGCAGTCGTAGGCCCTAACAAACCGCAGTTTTTTTCATCAGCGGAACACCGTGTGGCACCGGCTAACCCTACAAATAATATAAAATGTTATCGCATGCAAAGACAGCAGCAGAGCACACAAACCCACAACAGCGACACTACTCAGTAAGTAATAGCCTCTAGTCATATAATGGCGACGGATTAGGGATAAAAAATGAGGCCAGCAAAATACAGCTGCTCACTTTAATGGATTATGTTTGTGTATCGAAGTCAGTTTAAAGGGCTTGCTCTACAAAGGGCCAGTTTCTGTTTACCACTTGAAAACGCAAATAATACTAATCCAATTTTAATGCAGAGTAAAGCTTTGGTAAAAGCACAAGTATTACCATAAGATGCTATATCATTTTGAGATTCAAGGAACACGTTAAAAAATCGCATTTTCAGCTTTAGATGATCAATTCTAGACTTGAGGAAATGCGTTCAACTACGGAGCATCACTATCATACAACTTATCGGCATTACTGGAATAGCTCAGAGTTCTACAGTATTTCTACAGTAGTCTAAAGCGGATGATAGGAAAGTTTAATATTCAATGGAATACTAATCAATTTTCGTTATCAATTTTTTTTGACTGACAATGCTTTTTTTCATTAAACCTATCATATATGTCGAAGCAAATTGCAGATTTAAAGCGTGATAACATCTGAATACTATGCTATCTGCGTTCTTTTTTCAAGTGGTTAATTATTTACCTGCTTCTCGGAAGGTTGCTCTG